TAAAACTACAAACTAAACCCTAAAAGAATAGGAAAATAATTAAATATATACACAAGAAAAAGGAAAAGGAAATGGAAAAGAAAAGGGAAAAGGGAAATCCTAGGATTCCTTCCGAGGACATTTCATTCATGTGTTGGTGGAGCCTGATTGCTCTGCTGTCTATAACATCTTGGTCTTTGTCGATTTAATTAAAAAAGACAAAGGAAAAAAGGAGGAAAAAGAAAAAAAGAAGGTTCTCTAGTCCTCCAATATATATATATATATATATATATATACATACATGTAAAATAAAATATAAAATTGAGGCAACTTGTTTTCGGTAAACATTCTAATATTTGACTCACCATATCTTAAGATGCCTTTACAAATGATTTAACTCAATATTAATATGTGCAAGTCCTCCAAAAGAAATAATAATAATCTAGGGGCAACATTCCAATTTAATTATGAAACCTATAGCTAAATTATGGTTTTGAATCGAAGAGTCGAGACAAAACAAGCTACAGCTGATGTTACTTGGTAATTATAAAAATCCCAAATCTTTGAACATAGTTTACATCAAGTCCTCGAAGTATTTCTTATCTCAATTGGGTTTTCTTTTTATCTTAATTAGGTTTTCAGTGTGGAAATGAATTGATAAGCAGATTCAAATGATAGACCAAAATATTAGTGAATTGTTTAAGATCTTTGCTTTGAATAATATTAAACTCAAATGAGAGACCAAAAAGAGAAACATAAAACCTTTGCATTTTTTTTTAAAAAAAAACTAGGGGTTGAAAAAGTTTTCCTTTTACCAATTGAATTAAATTCTAATGAATTCACTATTTTTATTTTTTTAATGTTCTCTCAAATTGACTTGAAGGACATTTAAATAAATAAATAAATAAAAGAAGCCCGCGTCACCCTGTGGGAGGTTAGGGATGATGTTTCATGGCACCTTCTTCTTCCTCCTGTATCATCTCCTTTCGAACCATCTCCCTTTCCTTATTTACACACGTCAGACGCGTAGACCCCACCGTGTTACAACATCACACGTGTCAAGATAGCATTCACTAGACTGCGTAAGGCCCCCTTTAATCTGGATTACCACCCTCCAACTCACATTCCCTTTCCCCATCCTACCCCTACCACATCCCCACTCCGTGGTATTTATGGTAAATAAGGACACGACCATGGGTAAACAAGTAATAAAAATCCCATACGCGGAATATCCGAGGGTGTCGTGTTTTATTTTTATTATTTATTTAAACGCGTCGGGTTGGGTTCCAAGATGAGGTCTTCACTTTCTCTGTAGTTTCCTTCAAATGTCATCAATGGAGCCCTTAAAATATCTTCAAGACTGAATCTTCTATCCTCGATTCGTCTTCTCTTTGTAAATTGAGTGAAGGGTTTATTTTTCTTTGAAAACCATGGCTGTTATGTCTTTGAACTTGAATTCACTGCCCTTAGGCTTTAGATTCAGACCATCAGATGAAGAACTAGTTAATTACTACTTAAGACACAAAATCAATGGAAAAGATGATAAAGTTAAAGTTATTCGTGGAATTGATGTCTGCAAATGGGAACCTTGGGACTTACCAGGTACATAAATGCATACATAAATACTAAAAAGGGTGAAAAATCCTTCCTTTTTGTGTCTTTTGAATTAATCTTGAAAAATTGTTTGTTTTTTTTCCGTTGTTGTTGTTGTAGTCTTGTCGATAATAAAGAACAAGGATCCGGAGTGGTTTTTTTTCTGTCCATTAGACAGGAAGTATCCAAATGGATCGAGGCAGAATAGAGCAACAGATGCTGGGTATTGGAAGGCAACTGGCAAGGATAGGAAGATCAAGTCTGGAAATAGATTGATTGGAATGAAGAAGACTCTGGTATTTTATACTGGACGTGCTCCTAAGGGGAAGAGGACTAATTGGGTTATGCATGAGTATCGTGCTACTGAAGAGGAGCTTGATGGAACTAAGCCTGGCCAGGTAAAATCAGTTTTTGGTTACTGGTTTTATGTTTTTTCTGTGAAGTTTAGAGCTTTGATGTTTTCCATTGATTGAATTGTCTCATTTGTTGCTTATATGTTTGTAGGTTCGACAGCTTGTGTGCTTTGTCAATTTGGAAAATAATGGTCGTTTATGATAGTGTTGTTTTCTTTTTTTTAGTTATCATGGCTGCTCCATTTCTATTGGGACAGTTGTTTTGGATAGTTTCATGCAATGCAGGGTGCATTAGGGTGCTTTGTTGTTTGTTTGTTTGATGGATTGATTTCTTTTGCTGCATAAACCGCTGCATCCATGATTGATTGACGCCATTGGGTGCTTAAAAATTTAGAAATAAATGGCTATGGCACTTTATTTTTGGTCTGTTTGCAAATGATGCTCATTACATAAGATGTTTTAAACCCTTTGTGCTTGCTTGGTATCTATATAGCCATTAGTATTTCGATTTTGATAACTTTGGACAATGTTATGCAATGCAGAGTGCCTTTGTTCTTTGTCGTTTGTTTAAGAAACAAGATGAGAGCATTGAGAGTCCGAACTGTAATGAAGCTGAAGCTACTGTTTCGTCTCCTACCACAGCTCAATCGTCTCCAGAAGTTGCACAATTTGATCAACCACTGACTGAAGCATCTCCGGCAAATACAACAACCTCTGAGGTTGTAGCGCCAGTTGAATTTCCAAGCTGCAGCGTTGGTGTTTCTGAAGGAGGAGATCAAACTGCTGATTTACCAGCTTCTGAGGTGAGTTGGAAGACAATTATTAATGTTTACAGCATGACCTTTTCAGTGTAAGAGAAATGCAATCTGCAAGTAATTAATTATTTTTGCTTCTTTTTTTAATGCATTTTGTAGGAGGAGCTACAGCTGGAAGAAGCCTTGAATTGGTTATTTGACTCCCCACCACAGGCTCTAGATTACGAACTTTTTCCACCAGTCCATGAGCAGGTCCATGAAGCAGTGGGATCTTCCTCCATGTTTAATCATGGCAACAATGATTTGAGCAGCAGTAACAGAGGGCTGCAATCTCATAATGTTGGAAATGAAACAGATGACTATACCTCTGAATTCATTGATTCCATACTTAAGCAGCCAAATGAACTCTTATATGAGGTGCCTGGCTTTCAGAACAATTCATCATTTCCAAGTGAGAGCCTTTTTAGGGGCAGCTTGCTCCGTGTTGTTGAGGACAATGGATCTTACAGTGGCTCAGATGTTGACATGGAACCAATTAGGGTGAGTGGAAACTGCCACACTACTTCTGCATATCACATTGTCTTGCACATTCTGGGACTCGTTTAAATTTCATTATCTTGTTTTACAAATAAATTTATGCCCTTTAGAAATTTAACCATGCACTTCCATCTCATTACAGATTGAAAAAGGATTTCAGGGTGCTTACTTTCCTGAGGGGAACATTGACGAGAAGCCTTCTTCAACTCTGCTTTATGATAGTAATGTGCATCAGCAGCCAATCTATCTGGGTTCATTACAAAATGGATCTTATGCCCCGCAAAGTGTAGCATCAATTTCTGCCACAGACCAGCTCAATACACTCAACAAACCAAGCAACAGTACGAATGAAGTTGGTGGTAGTGATGCTAATTGGAATGGAATAAGGACCAGGGTTCGCAATCCACAAAATCGACAATTTGGCAGGAATTTCATTATACAAGGTGAGGCACCAAGAAGATTGCATCTGCAGTGTAAGCTCCAAGTCCAACCAATTCAGTTCAGCACAAAGTCAGAAGATTTTAACTCTGGAGAAGGAGAACTTGAATATGAGTGTATTGTGACAAAGGTGAGAAGTCTGTACAATGATGCTGAGTAAAAAGCCTAATGTTTACCTAAATATGTATTTGAGTATAGCTGAATTACCACGTGCAGGAGATAGAAGTTAGTGAAACCAATGCCATGGATGAAGACAGTTATACTAATGCCATTGATGAACAGCTGAAACCTACCCTTGTCAAAGTTAGTGAAACCATTAAATTTTCTGAAGAACTTATACCTAACAATGGAACAGCCGTGAAGAATGATCGCTCTATGCTCAGCAAGGTTTCATGTATGTTCTCGAAGGCTTCTTCTGCATGTGGTTCCATCTGGTCGATTACCATGTTTAGGGTAGCTGTATTAGCAGTTTTGTTTGCAGTCTTAGTGAGCAGATGTAGATATTTTTTTCTCGATACCGCTTAGGGACCTTCTCTCTGCTCAGCTTTCCCGGTTTAATTTTTTTGTTTGTCGGGGTGGGTTTACTAATTAAGCTTATGGGATAGATTTTGTAGGTCGCTATTGATGCATATTATCTCAAGTAGTCAGTTACCTTACTATATGTTCAGACCGAGTCCTATCTGTTTATATTCAACATTTTACCAGTTCAAGCTTTTTTGTAAATCTTGTTTATAGAGGATTAATTTCATGCCTATGTTGGCATATTTCTGTATAAAAATCTTTTGGTGCTTGAATATTTATGGAATTATTGTATGCTTCTCTGGATCAAATTCTACCAATTGCCAGCTCCAGAAGTTGATGTTTTGCATGATCATTCGTTGTGCAAATCACTTCCACCATACTTTCTGCTTTACTTTCTTGGTGCCTTGGCATTCCCAAACAAGCCGAAGTCCAAGACCTGCAGGTCTGGATTCGAAGACAGTCCACTAAGCTTAGGGAGACATGACTTTCTATTTGTCTGTTGGTATGTGAGAGGACATAGGGTAACCCTAAAGAGAACACGGGAAATGTCATTAGTTATTTACGGAAAGCAAATTATTTGTAATGCTGTGCTAAGAAGAGGGGCAACATTGTCAGGTGAGGACTTGAATGTCGGAACAAAAATATATAATGGGGTGAGAGAGGCTCGAACTCTCGACCTCAGGATCACTCTTTAGCTATGAGACCTACGCGCTAGCCAACTGCGCCACCACCCCGTGTTGCTCCCTTCTCGGAAAACCAATTTCAGATACTAAAACATGGTGAAAGCCTAATGGCCTGCAAAGGTTGTCGTTTTCAATTTTCATAGTCATTTGCCGACAACTCCCAAAGATTCATTGGTTTCACTTGAATCCTTTTGTTGTTGTTCATTGATCCTGTACGTTACGAAGCTTGTTTTTATCACTTTGGGAATCGAATTACAGTAGAACTAGCAATAAAGATGGGAACGTTTTTGTATTTGATACTATTCCAAGTCCTTCTTTCATTACTTTTATGTTTTGATTCATCTCAGTCCACTTTCGATCGGCAAACCTATAGAGAACATCTTCTAAACTCATCCCAACGAGACAAGGACTGGTTAATAACCATTAGAAGACAAATTCATCAGAATCCAGAACTCAGATTTGAGGAACACAATACCAGTGCCCTTATTAGAAGTGAACTTGATAAACTTGCTATTGCTTACACATACCCACTTGCCAAAACTGGGATTGTTGCTCAAATTGGCTCTGGTTCACCTCCTGTTGTTGCTCTTCGTGCTGACATGGATGCACTTCCCCTGCAAGTGATGTGCTTCGTAGTCCTTTTTTGTGGTTTAAAGATCGGAACTTTCTGTTTGATTGGTTTTGATTGTGTTTTGTTTATGATTTGTAGGAGCTTGTGGAGTGGGAGCATAAGAGTAAAGTTAATGGAAGAATGCATGGATGTGGTCATGATGCTCATACCACTATGCTCCTTGGTGCTGCCAAGTTGCTTAATGAAAGGAAACATCTGCTTAAGGTAGGTTAGTTAGTCTTTTGTTTCTTTGTGAAGGTGGGGTTTTTAGAGGGCTGTGTGTGTTTTTAATCCTTCTAATGGTGATGAAGACGACTTCCTGATCATGTCTGATTTCGTACGTTAAGATTGTAATTTGTTTCTAGCATGGAAATTGTCCTCTTATGTTATGATGTTAGAAGTGGATGATTATTTGGACTGGCATCAGACTAAGTAATTGTACAAAGATTAGTTGCTTGTCCAGTCATTCAGTGGTTGCAATCGATGCCTTTACACTCTTGCTATTTTTTTTGATGGTTCAGTTTATATGCCCATGTACGCTCTGTGTTTCTTTCTTTCTTCTGGTCATCTTGTAAATTTAATGATGATACCTTTGATTGGTTATAAAGGGAACAGTGAGACTTCTTTTCCAACCTGCTGAGGAAGGAGGTGCTGATATGTACGCTCTGTGTTTCTTTCTTTCTTCTGGTCATCTTGTAAATTTAATGATGATGCCTTTGATTGGTTATAAAGGGAACGGTGAGACTTCTTTTCCAACCTGCTGAGGAAGGAGGTGCTGGTGCATCACATATGATAAAAGATGGTGCCCTTGGTGATGCTGAAGCCATATTTGGGATGCACGTTAATTACAAGATACCCACTGGAACCATAGCATCCTTGTCAGGGCCAGTCTTTGCTGCTGCATCCCTCTTTCAAGTAAAAATAGAAGGCAAAGGTGGGCATGCTGCAGTACCCCATGATGCTGTGGATCCACTACTTGCTGCATCATTTGCAATTTTGGCATTGCAACAGCTCATCTCTAGAGAACTGGATCCCCTCCAGAGTCAGGTATGCCCCTGTTATACATCTGCTCTTGTAGCTTTCTTTTTTTCCATATGTTGATAATCACTACGACCAAGGTACTTGCTGACCTTGCAGGAACCTAGATGAACCTATAAAAGAACAGAGGATTCCTCCTATTAGCTCCCGTCGAAATATTCATAAATTTTATTCTCCACCTCGTCTTTATCCTTTTTGGTCTAACTTATTTAAAACAATCTGTAGACTTCAGAACCATTGGATATATATATAATTTTTTACATTATGAAAGAGAAGTGAAACATTTATTGTCTTATAACTGGTGCTTTGTTTTTGGCTGAAGGTTCTATCTATTACGTATGTCAGAGGAGGGGCGACCTTGAATGTAATTCCACCATATTTTGAATTTGGGGGCACCCTGAGGAGTCTTACGACTGAGGGCTTACATCAACTCCAGCGGAGGTTGAAAGAAGTAAGGGGCATTAATTAACCTCTTCACTTTGAATTTGACAGAAGGAATCATACAGAGTGCATGTTGGCATAATGTTTATCTTGCTATAAAAATATGTATAAAACAGAATTGCATATTCTTCTTTCTCAACCCAGTTAAATACTTTCAATAAAGGTCCTCCAAACTCCCAAGTTCATGCCTTGCTGTCCTAAATGATAGTCTTTAGAGCTAGTAGGATTTTTAATTAACGGCACAAGTTTTCATTCTCTGTGTTGGGCTCTACTGTCTTGAATTTGATTATTCATAACCTAGGTTACTAACCACCGACTGAATGATAGAATCTGTGAAGTAGCTAATGAAAAAGTAAATCATGCTCATATAATTACAACTGCTTGTAGGTTGTTGAAGGCCAGGCAGCTGTCCACAGATGTCATGCGCACGTAGACATGAACGAAAAGGGAGATGTTCCCCTATATCCTGCTACCGTGAATGATGAAAAATTGAATTTGCATGTTGAGAGGGTTAGTAGACTTCTTTTTAATCCAGAGAATTTCAAGATGGGTCAGAAGGTGATGACAGCTGAGGACTTTTCCTTCTATCAAGAAGTGATTCCTGGAGTCATGCTTGATATTGGAATTAGAAATGAAAACGTGGGTGCAATTCACTCCCTGCACTCACCTTACTTCTTTCTTGATGAGGACGTTCTTTCAATTGGGGCAGCATTGCACGCTGCCCTGGCAGAGATATATTTGAATGAGCATCAACAATCTGCAGCACCGTAGAGAATAAGACATCATAAGAGCATGGAAGATCATGAATAAGTTAATAGTGGTCCATGCTATAAAGTCTCTATATGTAGTGGCAGGATATGTAAAAATCAGGGGAAAAAAAGAAGTAATAAAACTCTTGATTCTAGATCACCGTCCAGTTCTGGTTAATGCAATCACCTCTTTCTGAAGAAGATTCTGGTGAGCAACCTGGATACGGGTGCAGCTATTTTGTTCTGCAGAAGTGCCAAAAGCTGCTTCAAGCTGCCTGTCCAGGTAAATGATTATGTTGCCAATATCCTATGCGAGCTTCGGTTGCCCCTCGACCTATTTTACCAAGGGATGTCCTTCCCAGAGCTACATTTGCTTGCACTCTTTTCCTGAAAGATTGAGCAATATTAATTATTCCAAACACTAATGAAGATTTCATGGTATATCATATTACAAAAGATTTCTGCAGACCCAAATCAACTTCACAAACGTGCCTTGTATTTTGCTCGCATTCTTTGCATCCGGACAGCTATTATTTATGATCATATATGCATTCGATGAGGTCATTGTGAATGGTATTCCATGGCTGTAGAGGGCTGAAAAGATGATAGAAGCTGAGTTTGGGCAGCTACAAGACTTGCAAAACAAGTTTCTTAATGGGTTCGAGGACTCTTTGGACTATTTGAAGATTAAAAAGAGTAGAAGTGGCAATGGACTGCTGTAAAAGCTCTTCCATTTTAGGTTGGATGGGATGCCTATTTTTAATAACTAGCATTGGACAAATTCTTGAAGTGACACGTGCTTGGGACTGGTATCAGTGAAGATTCATATCCAGAATAGAAGGCTCCGCCGGTGGGCAGGGTGTTCAATGAATGTTATGCTGGCGAGAGGGCTGGGAGCCTGGGTATATGGCACGGGTTTTATCTAGTATAATCTGCTATAACCTGGTCACGGAAGAGGCCATGTTTACTGCACAATTTGAGTTCAGGATGCCGCCTCGATATCGGCTCTTCACAAACTGGAGCTGTAGCATGTTCCAAGGATTGGACTGTTCGCCTATTAAAACGGTACGTGAGCTGGGTTTGGCATGTCGTGAGACAGTTCGCTTCATATCTGGTGTGGTGGTTGGAGCATTAAGAGGGAGAGGACTGGCCAGTTATTGTATCCATAGTAAATGCTAGGTAGCCAAGCGCGGAGCAGTAACTACTTAAAGTATCTAAGTAGTAAGCTTACTCCAAGAGGAGATGAAATGTATCTTTAAAGTGAGGCTTGTGGAGGCATCCCAATAGAGCATAGATGAAAACAGGCAAGGTTAATACACCTAATTTAGAAGTTAGCACTATTAATGAACATCAACATGAATGTTAGATCTAGTTCAGGTTCCTTGAGGGTCCTAATGAATGAACATCAACGTGAAAAAAAAAATTCATGAACGCTAGAATTGCTCCAATGATCGTCACAACTCACCAGGGAAAAAAAAAAACAATCATAAGTTGCCTAAGTGGCGCTGGCTCGACCTTAAGCTAAAATATATTAAAGAATCAATTGAGAGGGTTAGTAGAGTTCTATTCGATCTAGAGAATTTCAAGATGGGCAAGAAGGTCCGACCGAACCCCACACAAGCCAACCACGCCTTGTATTTATCCAGCTGAACCTCTTCTTATTGGCCCAACAAATCCCTAGCTAGCCTAACCAAAGGTAAGAGGGCGAAAGAAAGGCCGATGATAGTCTAGCCGAGGGTGGCCCCGTCGGAGAAAATAAGGGAAGAAAAATAAAAATACACCGCTCGTAATCATGCATGCTCACCTGGATTCTCAAAATGATACAACCAACGCCATTCCTTAATGTTGGCACCAACCTAATCTCTGGTGCAAGTCACCCTAACCCTGTCATTACCACTGTGTTATTCCCCAGTACAGGTGAATGTTTTAGTTAAGTAATCAATTAGTTTTAATTAAGTAATCAATTAGTTTAAAGTCTGCTATAAACAATCATGCATTGATGCTCTCTCAATCTCAATAATTTCTTCAGCTTTTTGTTCTTGGCATCAAGTGAATGTTTCACTTGTAAAAGTCACATTATTCTCAAAGGACGATTTTGCAGCCATATTAAAAGAAAGAAGAATGACGAATCATGTTTGTAAAGTGGGGTTATCATCATGTTCTCATCACTTAATTTTGTTTCTTTATAATATCAATATGTTAATAGTGATATTAATTAATGATTGAAGTACTAATCCATGAATATTATACTAATGACAAACAATGCCACATGCCTTGGTTTTGGAAGATTCCAACAAATAATATACATACCAGGTTTATAGAGATCTTCATCTTATAAATAGAATTAACCTCTTGGATACCTCTCTCTTTAGATAACAATTAAAAAAAAAACATTGATAAACACAATATCCAATTCCAGATTTAGATTTTTGAATTATAGTTTATTTTTATATATAAGCCAAGCCACTCAATTTTTCTCATTTTTAGTGCTTCTCTGGAAATGTGATAAAAATTATTTTTCAAATAGCTTTTAATAATTTTTTTTAAATTATTTTTAACATAATACATCAAAATAATTAAAAATTAAAAAAATTAATTTTTAAAATTATAATTCACCTGGGATTACAAACACTAGAAAAATGAGATATACTCTGCAACTTACACATACCGTGTCTCAACAAGTGCATTTACGTAAAGATGATAGCAAAGTAAATGCAATCATGAATAACATAATCTTGTGAAATTAGGTACTTGCAACAAAGGTAGTGAGTAATTGAGCATATGATTCCTTAAGCTAAGCAATAATCTAGATTAATTCTATATATTAATTGACCACTCGTCCTAACAGCATCTGGGACCAATCCCTAAATTAGGATCTCTTAATTAATCGGCCAGCCCATGATAAAGTTCTGAATGATTATATGATCTTCTCATGTTTAATCACTTTCTTTGTTCTTAAAGTAGTGTAAATTAATCAAATCACAGCCTCTTAATCACCTTATCTATTGAACAACAAATAATTGTCAGCCATGCACACAATCTCTACCTTTACTAATTAAAAACATTAGAGTAATCAATTGTAGTCAAACTAAATTCTTCATGGGCATGCTTCTTTTTGGCTGGACTCTCAAACTTTGCTCCAGATTGATAATTTGTTGGTCGGTGAAATTCGTTTGTCTATGAGATTTAATTTAGACTGAATTTCTCAAACATTTCAATGGAGGGACTTGAATTTGGATGCCAAGTCATTTACACGTATTACCCAAAGCAACTTGGGCCACTTCTTTCTGCATTGGTGCAAAATTTCCATCTTTTCTTTTTGTTGATCCAAAAGGCTGGTTGGCTCTGGTTTTGATGGAAAGGTAAAAGATGCCGAGTCGATCCCACTCTGGCGAGGAGATTACCGTTCATCTTTGTGGAAACCATTGCCCCATCAATCTGGTGTAAGATCTGGGAAATGACTTTGGCAAAAACCATAAAAGCTTTTCTTTTTAGGGCTTAAAACAACATGCAAATTAAAAAGGAAAGAAATAGGGAAAAGGAGAAAAGGGTTAGCAGTGCTAGGGGCGGCAAGCAGACCATCTCCATGTGATCTATCAACTTTTGTGAATTTCCTTTATATTTGTTAACGTCTTAATTTGCACGCAGAACTGATCACATTTCCGATCCCCACGTTTCATCCATCTCCACTTTGTATGAGAATGGCGGGAAAAACCACCTTGCTTAAACCCTAATGTGCATAGAAAGTTCTTTCTGAATGCTGTATACGGACACTTTATGAAGAAATTATGTGCTATAGGATTGTCCATTATACGCTATCCAATATTCTTTAGGCGCAAGGTTTACGTACTAATGAATTAATAGAGTACTCGCGATCGTATTAACTTGTTTGATTAACAAAAAAGAGTATTTATCATATAAATTCATAAAATTGTTAGACATTTCCAGAAGCATCATCTAGCTACTAATATAATTAATTTCCAATTATATGATAGTTATGAATTTCATTGCTGAAATTATATTATATAGTTTTTTTTATTATTATTAATGTGAATGTTCGAGCTAGATTACTCATATCTTAATTATTTTTTAACTATAAAATTAACAATTATACAAGTCTTTAATAATTTTAAAATTTATAACACTCCAACTAATAATTTCTAGAAAATAAATATAAAATCTTATCAATTAAACTACTACATTATTCAAGATTCTTATCACATAATTTTAACTTAATTGAATTTGAGTGATTTTTTTTTATTAAAAATGAATGGTTTCATTTGTATTTAAAGGACAAGAAATCATTCAAGAATAATCTTTAAAATAAATTTATTTTATATCCTTGTTTTCATAATTATTTTTTAATCAAATATATTTTTATTTTTTTATATTTATTTTTTCTTTCCTTAAATACTAATTAAACACAACTACCAAAAAACATAATAAAAAAATTTCTAATTTTTATCTTTCATCTTTCTTTATCCTTTCTGAATATTTTTATCATGTCTTATCTCATGTAATACAATTTTACCTAGATTCATGAATTGATTCTCGCTATGCAATAAACATTTTGACTGAAGAAAATGTTCATAATTATTCACATGTTAGTTTGAAAAGAGACAAACTAATCCATTAATTACCAGTAATCGCTTGCATGATTAATTGTAAATCTAACTAGAAATCAAATCAAATTGGAGATAAGTTTCTACACGAGATGCATTGAGCTGGACACAGAGAAACCAGGAATCCAGGTTGTTCTCACAACATTGCACATACAATTGACACATCATCACTTTGTCAAAAAAGCTACAGAGATGACTTATCACATCCGTCGGTGGTGTTGGAAGTATGTGACATCCTTTTCAATGTTAAAAAGCTACAGAGATGACTTATCACATCAGTCGGTGGTGCTGGAAGTATGTGACATCCTTTTCAATGTCTTGCTTTGCTCTCTCCCCCTCCATCCCCCCGTAATTTCTCTCTCTCTCTCTCTCTCCCCCTCCCTTGGCCTAATAAACCACTCCATCTCTCCTTAATTTCTCTATAAATTTGCCTACTTCACTGCTTCCCCCCTTCGTCTTTCTCATGATTATGTTGGAGGTTGAAAAGAATTCAGAAAGAAACCATATTATAATCAAGCTTTAGTTTCTTTGTGCATGTAGTACTGGCATTCCATGTGCCTTGGAATCACATTTCTATACTTTGTGTTATTAAACCCCCACCGTCCATTAATACCCTCACTCACTCCTATACGTACGTAAATAAACTGTGATTGCTAGTCTTTATTATCTAGGCCTCCCACTGCATGTCTCTCCCTCCCAATTTCTAGCTTACTGCTTACATTAATTAGCTCATCACTTCATTTTCAGGAAGGTCAATAAGATTGCTTCTCATTAGTGAAAATGGGTGAAGAAGCTAAGCAGGTAAGTAATCATTGAATGGTTTTGCTTGCATGGTTTTTGTTATCTTGGGTTTTGGCAGACCTTTGGGCTTGCATTTCGTTCTATGTGATGATGTTTGATTAATTATTGATAGGAACAAGCCAAGGCAGAGGCTAAGCCAGATGAGAAGAAGAAAGAAAATGCAGAGGAGAAGAAAGAAGAGAAACCAGCAGAGGAAGAAAAGAAGGAAAAACCAAAGCCACCATCTCCATTTGTCTTGTTTGTGGACTTGCATTGTGTGGGATGTGCCAAGAAGATTGAGAGGTCCATCATGAAGATTAGAGGTCTCTATATCTCTCTCTCACACTTCAACTAGTTAAGGAACAATAGAAAATTAAGTCAAGAAGCTAGAAATTAATTAATGAATTCAAACACATTTTCATTAACTGCAGGTGTGGAGGGGGTTGCGATGGATATGGCACAAAACCAAGTGACTATAAAGGGAATAGTGGAACCTCAAGCTGTGTGTAATAAAATCATGAAGAAAACCAAAAGAAGAGCTAAAGTTTTGTCTCCATTGCCTGAAAATGAGGGTGAACCGATGCCCCAAGTTGTTACTTCACAGGTGTTGGCGGCATCTAATTTTAATTTTAAACTCCAATAATAATAAGATAGTTGAGTGATTAAATACTAATTAGACATTGTTGTAATGTTATTATGCTGATAATTTCAGGTAAGTGGATTAACGACTGTGGAGCTTCATATCAACATGCACTGTGAGGCATGTGCAGAGCAACTTAAGAAAAAGATTCTCAAAATGAGAGGTCGTTAAATTAGTTAATTTTTTCTCTTTTGCATTTGATACACGTAATAAACACTACCTAGCTAGGCTCAAGATCTCTGTTTACGTTCTTTTTTCAGAAATTAAGAACATGGCTGCACATAAGTTTTGAGGGTAGAGTCAGGGTGAACATGATTCACACGCTAATTTTTATGAAATTTGGCATGGACAAGGTCCACACAGGATCGCACTTCGAATGAATTCGGTCTGGGTTTGATATAGACATGATTAATGGACTGTTTTGCCCTGATGATTTTCGTCAATTACAAGTGTTTGATTTCTATTGATTACAGGAGTGCAAACAGCAGTGACAGATTTTAGCAGCAGCAAAGTCACAGTGACTGGGACAATGGAGGCAAACAAATTAGTGGAATATGTTTATATACGCACCAAAAAGCAGGCCAGGATAGTGCCACAACCTGAGCCTGAACCTGAACCAGCGAAGGAAGAGGAGAAAAAAGAAGAAGAGAAACCAGCAGAAGAAGCAAACCCAGCTGAAGAGAAAAAAGAAGAGGAAAAACCAGCAGAAGAAGGTGGTGGTGGTGGTGAAAACCCTGAAAAAAATGAGAGGAAAGAAGATGAAGGGAAGAAGGAAGGAGTAGCAAATATAGACATCATCAACGTTGATGAGGAAAACATGAAGAGAATGATGCATCACTACCATCCACTATATGTGATAGAGAGAATACCACCTCCTCAGTTATTCAGTGATGAGAATCCCAATGCATGTTGCATTTCATGATCTTCTAATAATATTGATAATCAAACTCTTTTATGGCTCTGACGAGGTTAATCAACGATCGAGAATGTTTAAATTCTTCTATTTTCTTCAAAACTCAGTTGGCAACTACAATAATATTTCTACCAATTAAGTAATTCTCTTAAGCAATATTCTTTCATGGTTTGAATGTTTGGATCTCCTAACATTAAGTACTTCTCTTAAGCAATATTCTTTCACGAACTACAATAATATTTCTACCAATTAAGTGTTGGGTGTGGGCACAACATGGTTGGTGACAGCCATGTTAGACATGGTTAAAGTCAATGGG